TGCGCTCCCTCCCCCCCCCCCCCCCGGGCCCGGACCCCAACCCACCCCGGCCCCCCGCCTCCCCCCCCCCCCCCCCCGGCCCCGCCCGCGCCCCCCCCCCCCCCCCCCGGGGCCCTAAGGCAGACCCTCCACGGGCCTCCTGTCTGCCCCCCCTTCAAGGGTTCTGGAAGAAAGGCAGGATTGGAAGCTGGGAGCTCTGGGGTCACCACCAGCCTGGGACCCTTGGCCCGGTTGTCCTTCAGCTCAGCCTACCTCGCAGGGTTGTAAATAGGGAACAATGGCAGCCAAAAGCAGGGGAAGGGTTGCCTCGCTGGGGGATGCACCGGAGGAGTCTAGCAGCCCCTCCCCCCCAAGGAGGGCAGAGGGAGCGCCGAAGCGATGGAGCTGATGCGGCGGCCTGGAGCAGCTGCCGGCGGAGAGCGATCATTGTGTGGCTGGGGAGCGCCCGCCTGCCTGCCTGCCTGCCTGCCGGTCCGCTCACCCCCTCCCGGGAGAGGAGGCGGTGCCTGGGCCCGTGGCGGAGGGTCCCTGGCCAGGTTGGCGGCGCAGCGCACAGCTTCCCTCCTTCCCGGCTCGCCTGTTGCCCGCGGTGGGGCGCCTTTCCCGTTCGCGGGGCTGTTCCGAGCTCGGCACGGGCAGCGGGGCTCCGGCCGGGAAGGTAAGGCGCGCCGGCTGCACAATGGAGCCGCGGGGGAAGCGGCACCTGCCGTCCTTCTCGCCCGCCTCCCAGCGCCAAAGGGGCCGGAGCTCTGAAGTGTCTTGAGGGGCTCGGCGAGGCCGCGGTGGCTGCCCTCGCCCGGCCTGCCTCTGGAGGTGGGAGGGCCCCCAACCGGAGGGGCTCTTTCCAGGCAGCCCGGAGGGGGGCGGGGAGCGCAGATTCCTTTGCGCGGCTTTGCTGCAGGAGCGGAGCGCTGGGGAAGGAAAGCGCCGCACTCGGAAGGAGCTCCCGGTGCCTTCGCTTGGGATCAGTTTGGGGGGGGCGGGGGGGAGCGGAGGAAGGCGAGGCGGAGCTGCTCCATAGAAGGCGGCCGAGAAAGTCCCTCTGAATAGGGAGTGGGATGCGGAAGGCGCCCTGCAGCTGCGGTCGCCCCGGAACGCCCCAATAAGCGTTAATCGGGCTGGTTTGGCTTGGCTTCGCGCCTGAGATGAACTCGGCCGTTGTAGTTGCAATTCTGGTTCATGGCTTGGTGGATTTGTGAGCCCAGCCAGTGATGCAATGAATAAACCCTGGTTTAGACTCCCGGAGGAGGGTGTGGGTCGCATGGAAGGGGAGGACTGGAGGAGTCGTAGCCGCAGTTGAGAAAGAGCCCCAGGAAGGAGGAAAAGAAGGGGACGTGGAAAGCGGTCTCTGAAGTAGAGGACACGGGCTGGATCGTGAGGACGGAGAAGGGAGGGAAGGTAGAAAGTGCCGTTGGCACCCGTGTTACTCTCCTGTCGGCGCCTCCCGTGCCTTTGATCTCACGGGCTTCCCAGTTTGCACCGTTCTGTGCGTTTCTCTCCTGTTGGGGGAGGGGGGGGAGATAAGCAGCCTGTGTCTACAGGGGGAGAGGGCGCGCTCGTGTTTCAAGCCCCGGGCATCTTTCCTGCCTGCGTCGGAGGGACCCCGCGCTCCTTCATCAATCGAGGGGAGGCTTTGAGGCAAAACATCTGAAGGTCCACTCGCTCAGGTAGAACGGCCCCACTTCCTGGTCTCTCCCAGCGCCTCACCTGTCTCAGGCCCCCCCCCCCGGCAAGCGGAGGAGGGTCCGGGTGCTGTACCAGCTGAGCAGCTCCCCCCTCCTCTGCCCAGGAGACTCAGCAGCTGCCGGATGGGCTGTTGTGGGGGGGGGGGCAGGGATGGGTCGGTGTGTTTGTTTTCTGCGCCTTTAACTGGAGCAGAGTGGCGAGAGAGTATTTCAAACACTTGGACTGTAAAAAGATAAAATTAACTTTCTGGGGCCATTGTAGAGACCGAAAATAGACTTGGAATGAAGCAGGCTTGAATTAGATAATCCATGGGATTATAAAGTTTATACTCTGAGGATTTGTGGGACAGGGAAAGCGCATTCATGTAGGAGAGGGATGCTGAGCAGTGGAAGGTAGGGGATCCCAGGGGGCCTTTTCTGAAGCCCCCAGCAGGGACTGGGTGAGAAGAGGAAGCCCTGCCCCACGGCCTGGCTTTGAACACGGTCCAGGCTTTGTCTGGTAGAGCATAGCCGGAGTCTTATTTATGCTCACCCTAATTGCTTCAACTGTGATTTAAGGAGCAAACCGTAAGAGCCACGTTCCCCCAATGCACTAACTCAAAACCAAGAAATGGCATCGCAGCCAAATCAGGATATGTGAATCGGCCTCGGAGTCTCTTTGCAGCGAGAGGTGGAGGAGGCTCAGAATTTCCGAGGTGTGATTTTAGCAAAGGGAGAGAAGTTCCAGCGTTCCTCTTGTGCAACAAGGCCCAGAAGTACTGGAGGCTCTGTTGGGAAGAACATTGAGCTCATCAACTTAATTCCTGTAATTATCTGCAGGGTTCTTGTGCTTAAGAAAGGAAGAGCATTAAGGCTTCAGGTTCTGGGGAAAACTTAGTGGGTCCTTCAACTCCCATTCCATTGCCTGATGACCCTCAAGGTTGGACGGTGCCTCTTCTCTCCAAAAATGGGCATCTAAAAAGGGACTTATTACAAATAAGGGGCAGCCACCACCTACTCTAGTGACTGCCTAAAGGAGGTGAGACCTAATTCCGGCTCTGGGTGCCAAACCAAGTAAACCCCCCCCCCCTTTTGCATTCCTGCACTTTGTTTCCTTCGGGGTTCAACTTTGAGCATTTCCTCCTCTGCTTGTTCCTCTTCTTGGCTGGCACCTCATTCAACACCTGCAGTTGAGGTGCTTCTCAAGGGATGTTTGGAGAGCCTCTCCCCTTATTGGAAGGCTGCTCTGCTGTCCAGACAAGGGATGCCCTCTGGCACAAGGAAAGCCATGGGGCACCAGCCAAGCCAACTGAATCTGGGCAAACAGTTTTCTTCCTTACAAGGAATCCGATTCTTCAAGAGGAGCAAATTGCTCATGGTTTGTGTGATTAGGACACAGGAAGGATTTGAACCCAGGGTTTCATTATGAAGTGAGCAGAACGTGGCCTTCCCCAACCACTTAGCTTCCAGATGTGCGGCATAGGTGACCATGACACCTGCAAGCTTAGCATCTGGGCACACAGAAGGATGTCTAGAAGAGCACCAGGTTGGGGGAGCTGGTAGATCCTCTCGGGAGAGCCCATATCTACCTCGGCCAAGGAGTCTTTGGGCAGATCAAAGCAAGGAGTTGGCTTAAGTTCATGTTTATGCAAAAAGCAAAAGGAAGGGGGGGGGGGAGAGAAACACAATCTAGTCATAGATTTGCCTGACTGGATTTTGAACTCTAGTCTTGATGCAGATTTTTCCACTGTAATTTTATTTGTGATTTCCTGGGAAACTTCTGCAGTCGGCAGACCTTTGGGTTAAATTTATCATATGGAATTAATCTCCACGGTTATTTCTGCTTCATCTGAAGGGGTGTGAACGGGATGTGTGTGTTTGTGCGTGTAGGTGACAGGCAAGCAAGAACAAGATCCAGTGAAGAAACAGCCTTGTGTGCAATTAACTGCTCCTTCTCTGTGGGATAAATGCTGCTTTCCCCCAAAGTGCTTCTTTTAGCCAAGCGGGGCCCATTTGAGCTCAAAGCCTCTGGAATGAGGCCGCCTGGACTGTGGGCTCCCACTCCAAAAGCAGCCCTTGAAGAGGAAACCTTTGCTCTATCCCAGCCCTGCTTGAAAGCTGTTGGGTGGAGCCAGAGAAAGAGATGCTGTGTGCATTCCATGGAATTTGGTGTAAATCTCTCAGGGCCGTTGGCTGGTCTAAGAAGTGGCCAAATTGGGCCAGTGGTGCCAGATGCACCTTCAAACCAGCACAGCTGGACCATCAGAGACTCCGGCAACCCCCCCCCCCCAATCGCTGAAGGCCTCCTAGGGGAGCGTTTTCATCGCCCTTTGCAGGAGAATCGCTTGTCCTTGGTGGCGCTTCTGACCGCATCTTGGATGGGATCTCTCTGGGTCAACGGATCGCTAAATTGGGATTTGCGCCAGAGTCGCTCTAAGTCTGCCAGGGGGAAAGTCTGGGGGGAGATGCCAGCTGGGTGCCCGAGAGAGCCGATCTGCGGGGAACGGGATCGGGATCGCTTTCCTCCGCCTGCCCAGAGGTCTCCTTCCTGGAGAAGCGGCGGCGGCAATTCCGGTGCCACCGCCTCGAGGCAGGCGGGTCCTTGGAAAGAGAGAGGCGGCTGAGCAGGAACCCGAGTCTTCGCCCTGCCTTAGTCCTGGCCGGCGGGACCCTCCTCTCCTCCCGCATCTCCGGAGTTGCGTCGCCCTTGCGCTGCCCAATTTTTCCCCCCACGAAAAGTGTGCCCGTGGCAGCTCCTGCTGGACCCGGGGGCGGGGCGGGGCGGTGGGCGAGAGAGCACCTGCAGAGAGAGGCAGGTCATGCCGTCGCCCCTCCCCTTGGCCTGGGAGGGGGCTTCCCCCCGACGGGGCGGGGCGGGGCTGGGCTCTCACTACCTGCGTTTAAAACGCAGCGTTACTCGGAGTCCGAGAGAGAACGCCACGGCACGGTGGGTCTCCCTACCAGATGAGGCGGGGAGGGTTCCCGGGCCGGACCCTGCTGGCATTCTGGGAGGGAGGGCGCGCTCTGCACATGCTCCGCGGTGGCACTTCGGGCGGCGACGCATCTCTTTCCTCGGGTGATTCCGGGCAGGCTTTGGGAAGAGGCGCCTGACTGGCACCGTCTCCGGGCGGCATGGCAGGATAGGCGGCGAGAAAGGACCTGTCGCTGCAGCCGGAGGCGGGGGCGGCGGGAGGAAAGGGCAGCGCGGACCGGAGAAGAGCGAGCGGGCAGACGTGTTGAAACCGCCCGGCCGTCCCCGTTTGCGCCGTGCCCCTCGGAGGCTGCTCTGTCGGGCGCTCTGGGAGCGGAGTAGGGCAGGAAAAGGCAGTGGGTGCCGCTTCGCCGCCCTGCCCTGTCCGGACCTGAGAGCCAGCTCGGAGCGGGCAGCGCTGTCTTGTGCTGCTCCCCTCCCCGTCTCTGGGCTGAAGTGGTTTGTGCGTAGCACAGCTGCTCCATGTGTTAGGCGCCCCGACGGGTCTCGGGCGCAGAACTGGACAAGCGCCCCTTTCTCCCCCTGCCCGCCTGCCCAGAGGAAGGGCCAGTCTGGGAGGAATGCAGCTCCTTGCCTCTTTGGGGGCCGGGAAGGAGCAGCGGTGCCGGTGCGGTGCAGGGATGGGGTCGGGGCAGAAACGCCATGAGTGAGAGGTAATACCAGCTTGCAAACAGGCCTCTCTCCCCCCTTCCGCAGATGCCCGTGAGCCTCCCCACAGCCCTGCGTGTTTCGGGGACCACCCTCTTTGCTGTGACGGTGCTGGGAGGCATCCTGACCGCCTACGTCACGGGCTACCAGTTCATCCACACGGAGCAGCACTACCTGTCCTTCGGGCTCTACGGGGCCATCCTGGGCCTCCACCTCTTCATCCAGAGTTTCTTTGCCTTCCTGGAGCACCGGCAGATGCGCCTGGAGGGGCGGCCCCTGAAGCTGCAAGCCTCGGTGGCCCTCTGCATCGCCGCCTACCAGGAGGACCCCGACTACCTGCGCCAATGCCTGCGCTCCGTCCAGCGCAACTCCTTCCCCGGCCTGAAGGTGGTGATGGTGGTGGACGGCAATGGGGAGGAGGACGCCTACATGCTGGACATCTTCCAGGAGGTGATGGGCTCGGAGCAGACCAGTTGCTTCGTCTGGAGCAGCAACTTCCACGCTCAGGCGCCGGGCGAGACGGAGGGGGCCCATCAGAAGTCCACGCAGCACGTCCAGAGCCTCGTCCGCAACCACACCCACTCTTGTATCATGCAGAAGTGGGGCGGGAAGCGGGAGGTCATGTACACCGCCTTCCGGGCCCTGGGGGACTCCGTGGACTACGTGCAGGTGGGTGCCAGCATGCCTTTCTCCTCTCTGTCCTCCTGCCGCCCACCACCCCGGCACCGAACCATTGGAGGCGGCGGCAGGAGGGGTCTTGGGAATGTAGAGGCTTATGAAGCTGGGTCTCCGCAGCCCCATTGGAGTTGGCGGAAGAGAGGCGCTTTCCCCATTTCTCAGGTGGAGGGGACTCCTGGCCAGAGACTGCCAGCAGGTGGCGCCCTCCCTAGCCCCTTCTAGCATCTTTTCTAGTAGGGCTATTTCTCTCCTTTCCCATTCACCTGTAAAGGCTCTGGGCATCTCCTGCCCCACAGGAGGAGGATTTGCTGCATGCCAGTCAAAGAAGGCTCCCTTGCTCTATGGGACAGGCACCGCCATGCATCCTGCCCTCTCTCATCGCTGCACAGGGGTTTTTTAAAGCCTTGCTAAAGGGGAAGAGTTCCTTGTGTGTAAATCTTTCCTTTCTCCCGGGCAGGTGTGTGACTCGGACACTGTTCTGGATCCTGCCTGCACGGTGGAGATGCTCCGGGTCCTGGAGGAGGACTCCCGTGTCGGTGGTGTTGGTGGAGATGTCCAGGTAAGGCATGAAACCTCAGGGAGCACAAGGGGGGGGGTTTCCCCTGGAGCGGAAGTTTCTCTTTCTGCCCAGCCCTGATTTCTCTATTGTCTTAGAAATTGGCCTTTCCATTTAATCATGGACATTTTGCAACTCTGTGACATGCTTATTCATGCTTTACTCAGCCATTGCAAAGTAAAGTTGTGGCTTAGTGCTATGCGCAATCCTACCTAATTGCACATTATTCATTTCTTTAATAAAGAATTATTGAACCATGAATAAATGGAAAGTTTGAGCAGTCGTCTTATTGAGGAAACTGGAGAAGGGCCAGGGCAGAGCATGACGGCCTCAACCTCCCTCCTTCTCTCCTAGATCCTCAACAAGTATGATTCCTGGATCTCCTTCCTAAGCAGCGTGCGCTACTGGATGGCCTTCAACGTGGAGCGGGCCTGCCAGTCCTACTTTGGCTGCGTCCAGTGCATCAGTGGGCCCCTGGGGATGTACCGCAACGCCTTGTTGCAGCAGTTTTTGGAAGACTGGTACAACCAGACCTTCCTGGGGAGCAAGTGCAGCTTTGGGGACGACCGGCACCTCACCAACCGTGTCCTCAGCCTGGGCTACCACACCAAGTACACGGCCCGCTCCAAGTGCCTGACGGAAACCCCCACCCGGTACCTGCGCTGGCTCAACCAGCAGACTCGCTGGAGCAAGTCCTACTTCCGGGAGTGGCTCTACAACGCGCTCTGGTTCCACAAGCACCACCTCTGGATGACCTACGAGTCGGTGGTGACCGGCTTCTTCCCCTTCTTCCTCATCGCCACCGTCATCCAGCTGTTCTACCGCGGCCGTGTCTGGAACATCCTCCTTTTCCTCCTGACGGTGCAGCTGGTGGGCATCGTCAAGGCCACCTACGCCTGCTTCCTGCGGGGCAACGCAGAGATGATCTTCATGTCCCTCTACTCCTTGCTCTACATGTCCAGCCTCTTGCCGGCCAAGATGTTTGCCATCGCCACCATCAACAAGTCCGGCTGGGGCACCTCGGGCAGGAAGCGGATTGTGGTCAACTTCATCGGTCTCATCCCCGTCTCGGTCTGGGTGGCGGTGCTGCTGGGTGGGTTGGCGTACACGGCCTGCCGCCAGGACCTCTTCACAGACACCGAGCTGGTCTTCCTCATCTCGGGGGCCATCTTGTACGCCTGCTATTGGGTGGCCCTGCTCACCCTCTACCTGGCCATTGTGGCCAGGCGCTGCAGCAAGCCGCAGGAGCAGTACAGCCTGGCCTTCGCGGAGGCGTGATGCTGCGGGAAGGCGATGGAGGGAGCTGGAGCAAGGAACTCCCTGGGCCAGCCCTTTGCCTGTGTGGCTGAGGGGAGGGAAGGGCTGGCCCCACCCTGCTTGAGGCAGCATTTCACTCGTCTGGAAGCAGCTGGCAATCTCAGCAAGCCGGGACTCCTTGCTGGGTGGGGGGGGGGGAAGCAGGGGTTCTGCTCCAGAGCCCTCCCGAGGGGCTGGTGGGAAGACCCACTTGGACTCCTGCGAAGGACCTCAGCAGCAGCTCACCTGCCTCCTATGCAAATAAGACCTTCCTGAGGGGCTGGAGGTGGGTGAGGAGGGTGGCTCTCAGAGGCCACACTTTGGGGCAATTACCCTGGGGAGACATTGCTGATTGCTCTGGGGGAGGGGGGGGGGCCTCTACCAGATCCCCTTTGGAGATGCTGCCTGTAGGGAAAGTCATCGAGTGTCTTCCGGTTGTTTCACTGCAGGAATAAAGGGGGGAGGGGGAGAAAGCTCCTTTGGGGGAAATTGCCCACCAGAAAGGGAACCTTCCCAGCCTCCCACAATGCCCCCCCCCCTTCCGTGACAGCTGCAGACAGGGAGGCCTCAGTCGGAGGAGCTGGTTGCCTTGCAGCCACTCCTGATTTTCCACCAACATTTACATGCTATTAAGCACATGGATGACGCCTGATTTAGCAAAGTTTAGCTGGGGTTTGTCCCTGCCTGCAAGCATGTGGTTGTAGTATTGTGGGTACTACTAGGACATTCTACCTCTGTCCACGCCCCTCATCCTGGTAGGTCTCTGGGGCTTTCCTACAGATCCCCCTACGGTGCTACTTCCAAGTGGGAGAAGGGAGGACGAGGGGCAGCAGTGGTGCTTCATGGGCTCCCCCCTCCTCTCTGCTTATACCGCCCTGCCCTCAATACGCCTTGCCTCCCTCCTCCAGCAAGAAGGGGCTGGGGGCTGGAGGGGGACTCAGGAGTGACGGGAGCTTTTCCTGCAATCTGTCATTCCGCGAGAGGAACACGGTGCCTCTGCCAGCTTCCTGCTTAGCCACATCGGAAACTCTGGACACAGGCTTGCTCAGCGTAGATCCTGGCTGCCCCCTGCTGGAGTTTAGAGGAAAGGCAGCTCTTCCCAGTTTCAGTCCTAAAGGGCAGTGGTCTCCAACCTTGGCCACTTTAAGACCTGTGGACTTCAACTCCCAGAGTTCCTCAGCCAGCTTTGCTGGCTGAGGAACTCTGGGAGTTG